ATTTATATATAGCTATTTCTCCTTTTTCCTAGTACTATTGGATAATTAAAAGATTTGCAACGATATCTCGTACAAACAGCTCATAATAATAAACTTATACAAAGCCCCTTTTGGTGCATTCAAAGAAGAACCGCGACTGACAGGGATATGATTTTTAATTATGCTTTTCAGGTAACGCGTCACATCCCTGCAGACTTATTTTTCGTTCATTTGCATCATATTCACCGGCGCTAATGAGCGCAGACGCGAACATATGCGTAGTCGGCATATGCAAATATATAGCTAATTGGATTAAAGATAATTAACGTCGCTGGTCCGAGTATTCGATCACACAGGCCGTACCCGAGAAATTTCGATCATATTGCGACGATATTCACAAACACAATATGAACGGTATAACCTATGTAACCAGTGGCGATGATCGTTGCGTATAATTGCAAAAATACTGTGGAATCTCCCCCATAATGAAATAGATATCACGCGGAATGCGTTGCTCGCCCGTACGGAATTCTCAGTCACATCATACTTCAAATGCATCGCGTTTGCGGTTCTCATTTTCGATGATCGTGACATTTAGGACAGCAAGATCGCTGACAATGGATAAATTATAACATCGAATATTTCAATATCGTGCGATCCTGTTATTCTATTTTTATCTTAAAAAATGTTTTTTGATTTTAAAATAAATAACAAAGTAATTTTAATTTGTTTATAGCTATCAAAAAAATAGAATTTATTATAGAAAAAGATATCATTTATTATTTTCATTAAACAAAAATAAGTATTAACGCTAAACATTATTATAATCGTGTCTTATATTATTTTCTAGTATTAGTTTGCTCGATAAAATACGCGTTCAAACAGGAAGTGGAGAGATATATTGAAATGTTGATTGATATAATAAAACCTAAGAAATTATTTGATCATAACCGCAAAACATCAAATAAAATAATAAACGCGAAAGCGATAGAAACAGCTGTGATTGAAATCGTTATGTATATATATATGTGTGTAGGCATTTTCAAAAGTTGTCGAAGACACTATTACATGTGACCGAAACATACTGGTGGCGGGCAGAAATTGAACAAAGCGACTATTTTTTCAGCGCATTGTTAGGGAACGGGAATGACATCTACAGCACTCGTAAACCGAAAATTATTTGGTAGGCAGGTATGTGTGCTCTGGCACAATCGATTTTAAACAGACGAGACGAGCAGCGGCAAATTGACAATGTGTCGAATGCAGACAACCGATGCCTCTGGCTAAAACTACCCTACCATGCGACGAAACCAAAGTCCTCTCTATACGCATCACTCGTTGCACTGCCTTGGAAAGTTGCAGTACATCCTTTCCTAAGTTCTTGATAGTCGTGTATTACTGGGTCACAATTGATACAAACGTTATGATACTTTACTATTTTAATAAATAATTGTCTAAGGTCTTTTACATAAAATTACAATAAAATTAATAATCAAGCAATTTAATAATCATTAAACTATAAAAACATAAGTGTGAAAAATACTTATTTATTTAATATTAATTTAAAGAAAACACATTATATAAAATA